GCCCCCTGACCCTGGTATAGCGGCTGCTGCTCTAGGTGCTAGTGAGTCTGCTCTCTCTGGTACTGCGCCTGCTGAGGCCTTGCACACCTTTACACTTGACTCTGGTGCTTCCCGCTGTTTCTTTCGCGACAGTACCACAGTCACACCCCTCCCTGCACCTGTCCCTATCTCACTGGCTGACCCCTCTAGGGGCCCAGTGCTTGCACGGTCTACCACTGTGCTTCCGTGTCCGGCGGTCCCGTCTGGTGAGCTGTCTGGTCTCCACCTCCCCTCGTTCTCTACGAACTTGGTGAGCACCGCCGTCCTTCAGGATCACTGGGTTGACACCTTTACTCCTGGAGGACAGCGGGTGACACACTGCACGTGCTCTCGGACCGGCCGCCACCTGGCCACGTTCACACGTGCGCCTGGGTCCAGTCTGTACACCCTCACTGCTGTGTCGCATCACGCCACTTTGTCTCCTCAGCTGTACGCGTCTGCTCAGGTAGCTACCCAGTGTGAGTGTCGTCGCCTGTCGCACGACACTCTCCTGTGGCACCACCGCCTTGGTCACCCCTCCCTGCCTCGCCTTCGTGGCATGCACTCTCGCTCCCTGGTCTCTGGTCTTCCCAGGTCTCTGCCTGCCCTCCCTCCCTCGCCTGTGCCGCCCTGCATTCCTTGCGTCGAGGGGCGGCAGCGCGCCGCTCCTCACTCCTCCTCGTTCCCTCCCACAGAGGCTCCGCTGCAGACTCTCCACCTGGACGTGTGGGGCCCAGCCCGCGTCCAGGGACAGGGCCGCGAGCGGTACTTCCTGCTGGTTGTCGACGACTACATGCGTTACACAACGGTCTTCCCCTTGCAGCGCAAGGCGGATGTCCCTGCTGTCCTGATCCCTTGGATCCGCGCTGTTCGTCTCCAGCTCCGCGAGCGGTTTGAGCGGGACTTTCCTGTCTTGCGTCTGCACTCTGACAGAGGTGGTGAGTTCACCTCCGACCTCTTGCGAGCCTTCTGTGAGGAGCACGGCATCACCCAGTCGTTCACGCTTCCGGCCTCTCCGCAGCAAAATGGGGTTGCTGAGCGCCGCATTGGTTTAGTCATGGAGGTCGCTCGTACCTCCATGATCCATGCAGCGGCTCCCCATTTTCTGTGGCCGTTTGCGGTCCGGTACGCTGCGCATCAGCTCAACCTCTGGCCCCGTGTCTCCTTGCCGGAGACCTCGCCCACACTGCTGTGGACGGGGGAGGTTGGCGATGCGTCGCGTTTCCGGGTCTAGGGTGCTCGTGCCTTTGTCCGCGATCTCACCGCGGACAAGCTCTCTGCCCGCGCCATTCCCTGCGTCTTCCTTGGTTTTCCTCCTGACGCGCCTGGCTGGCAGTTTTACGACCCCACCTCGCGCCGTGTCTTTGCGTCTCAGGACGTCACCTTTGACGAGTCCGTCCCCTTTTACCGTCTCTTTCCCTACCGCACTGCCCCTCGCCCCCCCGCTCTTTCTCGCTCCAAGTTCTTCCCAGGTAGACCCCCTCCCCGCGCCAGGTCCTGCTCCTTCAGGTGTTTCTCAGGTAGACCCTCCCGTGCCTGCGCCTGTTGAGGTCACTGGTGACTCAGGTCCTGCTGGGGGTGGTCCTGCTCGGGGTGCTGTCTCTGGGGGTGCTGAGCCTGGGGGTACGGAGCCTGAGCGAGAGGAGCCTGGGGGTGCTGAGCCTGGGGGTGCGGAGTCTGGGGGTGCTGTGCCTGAGCGTGAGGAGCCTGGAGGTGCTGAGCCTGGGGGTGCCGAGTCTGAGGGTGCTGAGCCTGCGTGTGAGGGGCCTGAGGGTGCTGAGCCTGGAAGTACTTAGCCTGAGCGTGCTGAGCCCGAGAGTGCTGAGCCTGGGAGTGTGGCGCCTGCGGGTACTGAGACTGCTGGTGCGCGGTCTCCTTGGAGTAGCCGCCTTTGTCCGCATGCGCCTCTCTCCCCGCAGCAGATGCACGAGTGGTACACTCGCCGTCAGGGTCGCGCTGCTGGAGCTCGGGGCTCTACCGCTGGAGGTGTTTCTGCTGTCGTCGCTGGAGCTGGGAGTGGTGCTGTGTCTACAGGAGGTGCTGGAGTCGCTGGTCCCGGAGGTGCTCGTACTGGAGGTACTGGAGCTGCTGGGGCTGGAGGTGCTGCGTCTGGGGGTGCTACTGCTGGAGACACTGAGGCTGGAGACCTTGGGACTGGAGGTGTCGGTTCTGGGGGTGCTGCTGCTGGAGACACTGAGACTGGAGACCCTGGGACTGGAGGTGCTAGTTCTGGGGGTGCTGCTGCTGGTGGTGCTGGCGCTGGAGGTTCTGGAGCTGCTGGAGGTGCTGGAGCTACTAGAGGTGCTGGAGCCACTGGAGCTGCTGGAGCTGCCGGTGCTGGTGCAGCTGCGCCGACACGACTGTTCTTCGCTCCGCCGTCTCCGTCGTCTCTGCCGCCGCCTGACTCTGTTCTTTGTCAGGTTCTTACCCTTCCGTCGTCTACTGGTCTTCCGTTACTGCCTGGCTCACCGCTCCCTGCTCCTCCTCCTTACACTGAGCAGCCCGGTGGTCTTGCTGAGCGTCGTGAGCCTGCGTCGCGTCCTGTCTCGCCTGTTCGTCCTGGTCGTTCCGGTCGTCGTGTTCCTCGTTCGCGTCAGCCGGCTGTCCCCGGTACACACCTCGTAGTCCGTCGTCTTTCCTCTGCTCCGCAGCCTGTTCCTCTGCCGTCTCCCCCTGCGTCCTCTCTGCCTGACGTTGCGGACCCTGAGTCTGACCGGTTTCGTGCTGCACACCCTACTGTCACGCGTCTGTTAGCCACTGTTGTCACTGACCCGTCGTTTGAGTTTACTGATGCGTCTGCCTTAGTTGCTGAGCTTGTTGACTTTGCTGCTGCCTGTCGTCTCGACTACGCCGCTAGTCTTGTTGCTGAGTATGAGTCTGTCTGTCCTCCGTCCGTCGAGGGTGAGTGTGCTCTTGGCACAGACGTCCTTGAGGACAGGCACGAGGACCTTGAGTGTCTTGCAGCCACTGCGCCTCATCTCGTGGCCATGCTGCTTGCCCCTAAGGGAGACCCGGATGCACCAGACATCCCGACCCTGCGCTCTTACGCTGAGGCGATCGCGGATGAGTACTCCTCTTAGTGGCAGACAGCCATGGACGCAGAGATGGCATCCTGGAAGTCTACAGGCACTTACGTCGATGAGGTTCCCCCTCCTGGGGCAAACATCGTCGATGGCATGTGGATTTTCAGGGTGAAGCGGCCGCCGGGTTCTCCGCCTGTCTTCAAGGCTCGTTACGTTGCTAGAGGCTTCAGTCAGCGTGAGGGAGTTGACTTCTTCCAGACCTTTTCCCCCACCCCGAAGATGACCACTCTTCGGGTGCTGCTGCACGTTGCCGCTCAGCGTAACTACGAGCTTCACTCTCTTGACTTCAGCACAACCTTCTTACAGGGCAGCCTGCACGAGGAGATCTGGCTGCGCCGCCCATCTGGCTTCACTGGGTCGTTCCCTCCTGGTACCAAGTGGAGCCTCCGGCGGCCAGTCTACGGTCTCCGCCAGGTGCCTCGTGAGTGGCACGACACACTGAGGACTACACTTGCGGCTCTTGGTTTCGTTCCTTCGACTGCTGACCCGTCGCTGTTTCTGCGCACCGACACTTCGCTACCGCTGTTTTACATCCTCGGTACGTCGACGACTTGGTCTTTGCCACTGCTGAAACTGAGGCTCTCGCTCTGGTGAAGTCGGAGCTGCAGAAGAGACACACGTGCACTGACCTGGGTGAGCTGCGCAGCTACCTTGGCTTGCAGATCACACGGGATAGAACACGCCGCACCATCACACTGACTCAGTCACACATGGTGCAGCAGGTCCTTCAGCGCTTCAGCTTCACCTGGTCCTCCCCACAGCCCACTCCGCTGGCTACAGGTCACTCGCTCTCAGCTCCACCTTCGGACGAGTCCGTAGAGTCGAGTGGTCCTTACGCAGAGCTAGTGGGCTGCCTCATGTACCTGATGACCTGCACTCGACCTGACCTCGCGTACCCTCTTGGCCTTTTGGCTCGCTACGTGGCTCCTGGTCGGCACCGAAAGGTGCACATGGATGCTGCAAAGAGGGTACTGCGCTACCTGTGCAGTACATCGGGCATGGGGCTCGTGCTTGGAGGACGGAGCGCCGTAGTCATTACTGGACACTCTGACGCGTCTTGGGTTGACGACCAGGCTATGCAGCGGTCGTCACAGGGTTACACCTTCAGCCTTGGCTCTGGCTCTGTTTCTTGGCGGTCTACGCGCTCGTCTTCTGTTCTCAGCTCCAGCTGTGAGGCTGAGATCTACGCCATAGCCATGGCTGCCCAGGAGCTACGCTGGCTCACCTACTTGCTGACCGACTTGGGAGAGAGGCCTCGTTCTCCTCCAGTTCTGTACGTCGACAACAAGGCCGCCATTGCCTTGTGTCAGGAGCACAGACTAGAGCACAGAACGAAGCACATCGCTCTGCGTTACTTCCTGGCTCGAGAGTTGCAGCAGCGTGGTCAGCTTCATCTTGCTCACGTGACCACCAGGGCCAACACTGCTGATATCTTCACCAAGGCACTTCCGTCTGGTGATCATTAGCGCTTTTTAACTTTGTTGGGCCTTGTGCCTACGTTTCCACACTTTCTGTAGTCTTTGCTTGTACTGTGATCTATACATATATACCTGCATGCTTGCTCTTGCTAGATAGTGATCACTGCTCTGTTGTAGCTGCATATATACCTTTGCATGTGAACTGGCCTTGTGGCCCTTTGCTTGTGCTCAGAGTGTGTGTGGTGAGGTTGTGATCCGCCCTGAGCTTGCTTTGCTTCTCTTGACTGGTCGTGTGACCCTTTGTTCTCCCCCACTTTGCCTATGGGGGTGTGTTAAACTATATGGGTTATCTTTGTGTAGGCTGTAGTGGGGTAGCCAATATGGGGTACATAACTGCTAGGGTTTCATACTTGTACCCAACTCTGTTCTAGTTCAATCATTCCTGTCTCTAGTTTCTGATATTCTCCTCCCACCCAGCCGTATGCTCTCCCTCAATAACCGCCGTCACCTCTCCAACCCACCTCACAATCACTCCGTCCCATCCACCCCGCCATCTCCTCTCCCTTACCTCCCCACCGTCGCCTCTCCCTCCTCCCCACCGTCGCCTCCCTCCTCCCCGCCGTCGCCTCTCCCTCCTCCCTGCCATCGCCTCTCCCTCCTCCCCGCCGTCGCCTCTCCCTCCTCCCCGCCGTCGCCTCTCCCTCCTCCCCGCCGTCGCCTCTCCCTCCTCCCCACCTTCGCCTCTCCCTCCTCCCCGCCATCGCCTCTCCCTTCCCCGCCGTCGCCTCTCCCTCCTCCCCGCCGTCGCCTCTCCCTCCTCCCCGCCATCGCCCCTCCCTCCTCCCCGCCGTCGCCCCTCCCTCCTCTCCGCCGTCGCCTCCGGCGATAGGTGCACGAGCGCAAGCGCGAGTTGGTGCACGAGCGCAGGTTGGAGCTCCGCCGTCGCCTCCGACGACAGGTGCACGAGCGCAAGCGCGAGTTGGTGCACGAGCGCAGGTTGGAGCTCGAGCGCGGGTTGGAGCGCGAGCGCGGGTTGGAGCGCGAGCGCGGGTTGTTTTCTGAGTTATCGTGGTGATCAGGTGCGTTCCCGGTCCTTTAATCCTCCCTTCCCCCTCAATTTTTTTTTTTTTTTTTTTTTATTCTCTTCGTATTGTGTGTCTATTGGTCTCCTCTTGCGTATCTCCCTTCGTGAAGAAAGGGAGAGACGCGGAGCGCGAGGGAGAACGTTTGCACGGGAGCGCACGCACAAGAGAGAGCGCATGAGAGTGAGCGTGAGAGAGCGCGTGAGAGCGCGCAAGAGAGCGCGTGAGAGAGCGCGTGAGAGCACGTGAGGGAGCGTGTGAGAGCGCGTGAGAGAGCGCGTGAGAGAGCGCGTGTGGTAGCGCGTGAGATGGCGTGAGAGAGCGCGTGAGAGAGCGCGTGAGGGAGCGCGTGAGATCGCGTGAGAGAGCGCGTGAGAGCGCGTGAGGTAGCGTGTGGAATAGCGTGTGACAGTGCGCGTGAGAGAGCACGAGGGTGCGCGCGAGAGTACGCGCAAGAGTGCACGCAAAGGAGCACGGGAGAGTGCGCGTGAGAGCACGTGAGAGCGCGCCTGAGAGAGCACGCTAGAGTGCGCGCGAGAGTGTGTCAGAAAGAGCGCGCGACAGAGCGCGTGAGTGAGAGTGCGCGTGAGAGTGTGCGTGAGAGATTGCGTAAAAGATCGCGTGAGAGTGCGCCTGAGACAGCGCGTGAGAGAGCGCGAGAGAGAGCGCGTGGGTGCACTCTAGAGGGCGCGCAAGAGAGTGCGCGGGAGAGAGCGTGGGAGAGTGGAAAAAATTCACGCGAGGGAGCGCGCGATCGAGCGCGTGAGAGTGCGCGAGAGAGAGCGCGTGAGTGTGTTCTAGAGTGCGCGTGAGAGAGTGCGCAGGAGAGTGCGTGGGAGAGTGCGCGAGAGTTCACGCGAGGGAGCGTGCGAGCGAGCGCGTGAGTTAGTGCGTGAGGTAGCGCGTGAGGGAGTGCGTGAGAGGGTGAGTGAGAGCGCATGAGAGTGCGCGTGAGAGCGCGCGCGAGAGTGTACGTGAGAGAGTGCGAGAGATTGCGTGAGAGTGCTGGTGTGAGTGGGAGGGCGAATGCGAGTGTGAGTGCGGGTGTGTGTGTAAGGCTGAGCGCGATGGTGCGGGTGTGATTGCAGTGGTGAGTGCAAAGGCGAGTGCAAGTATGATTCCAAGTGTGATTGCGTGCATGTGTGAGGATGAGGGTAAGGGTGAATGTGAAGGTGAAGGCAAGGGTGGCTGCAAGGTATTGCATGCATTCTGGCATGGAATGTGTGACGCCATAATGTCTACTATCAAGTCACCTTTGTAAGACGTCAAATTTGACTGTTTTTATCACTCATCTTTTGTTTGTATATTGCATTCTTCAGCGCCGTTGCGCTTGCTTTGTTAGTGCATTGATCTTGTTTTCTTGTGCAACTCATGCAAGTTGTATCCTCAGATTTTGTTTTTGTTTGTACACGGAGTGAGTTGCATTTGCTGTTTCTTCTTTCCTGTGCAGGGAGTTCAAGCTGCAGCCTTTGTTTCTTGTGGAGAAAAGGGACGGGGGAAAGGGAGCTGAGGGAGGGAGGCAGGGGAATGAGGGACAGGCTAAGCTAGTGTTGATTTATACAAGGTTGGACTTCATTCATTATGCTTGCATGCTGATAACCGTAGCTGTATGTTTTTGTGTTGTGTGTGCATGTGCATGTGTGAGCCTGTATGTGTGTGAATGTGTACATGTGCGTGCATATGTACATGTTCTGTGTGTTTCAAAGCGTGGTGCTAAGTGCCTCGTGAGTGCAACTCGGATTGTGATCGTCGGTGGGGCAGCTTTGCTAGCCTCTTCCGTACCATATCAATCCCAGCTGCAGCATTGATGCATTTAGTATTCGCCTTGAAACATTTTCAATCGTTGTTTGTCCTCTATTTCTGTACCAGCTTGTATGTTATCGTCTGTGCTTGTTTTGGGATGTGGTACTAAGTGTCTCGTATATGCAACTGGGCTTGTGATCGTCGGTGGGGCAGCTTCGCTTGCCTCTTCCGTACCATATCAATCTCAGTTGCTGCATTGATGCATTTTGTATTCCCCTCAGAACATGTACGATGGTTTTTGTACATGTTCGTTTTGTGTGTCATTTCGTGTCACCATTAGTGCTAGAACGATTGTCCAATTGTTCCATTCGCCGTACTTATCGACGATTATGGATGATTGGACACATTTGGTTTCACATAGGGTAACGTACGTGAACAGTGTTTTCTTCCAAAAAAATTGGAGGGAAAAAATCACTGTTCATGTCAGTTCCCCAAAAAGTGAAACCAAATGTATAAGGTAGCAACGCAACCCAAAAAATATGGCATCGGCATCGCGACCGCATCTGGAAACGGAAGCGGAACCAGGCCTGTCGAAGTCCCTGAAACCAAAACTTCCAGCTCTGAGCTGCTCGAAGTTTGGCCCTGATTTTCGCGAAGGTAACCGTTTTTTAGCCCTTAACGATCAGGGGCGCATGTCAAAGTCAAAACTTGAAATCCGGGCTTCCTACAAAATATGTACGTGAGCCCTAGTGTCATCAAGGCGGATGTTGGTTGGCAGCGGGGAGGAGCATGCTAAGGACGTGTTGCAATTGCTGGTGCACTGCATCGGCTCGGGACAAATAGAAGGCTCCAGGCAAGCGGGAGGCCAAACCAGGGCAAAGAAAAAAAACAACTTTATGAATAATAAAGTTGTTAGCAAGTTTGTAGTACGACATATAAGGGTACATTCCTATGGCGGGTCTGACATCAGGTCATCCGCCCTTAGTCTCTGATTTGTCTCTTCTCAATGTTGATTTGCCCCTATTTTGAACCACTTCGGGTCTTCCGAGCTTCTAAGGACGGATGACCTGATGTCAGACACGAGCTAGGAATGTACCATAATATTTTTGCGCGTTTTCTGAAAAAACTTTTACGAACTCGTGCCCATAGCCTTTCTAAACTCGTGCCCCGAGCCGAGGTGATGCAGTGCACCGCGAATTGCAACACGTCCTAGCAACTCATTTGCATACTTACACCAAAAGGGAGTAGACGGGCGGGAGAGGGGAGGAGGGGGGGTGGGGCAAACATCGTCAGCAAAGAAGTCATTTAAATTTGTGTGTACAACTACTAGTGTAGTTGTGCTCGTGTAGTGCAACTAGTGTAAATCGATGGGGCTGAGTCCCTGTACGGTAGAAAATGGTGTCAGTGTCGCGATCCAGTGTGAGTACTTAGAAATGCCCTACAAAATATTCTGCAACTACAATAGTACATCTACGGAGAGTCACTACACAACGGGAGTAGACTACGGAGGAAGGCACGGGGTTGTGCGAGTGATCGTAGTGTTCTGCTAGCGTTCTTGCTACTTGCAAAAGAAAGTTGGAGCTTGAAAAGATTAGAGTACAATTGAGGCATGCAGAAGGATGTGGCTAGAATGGCATGCAACACCTAGCAAGGGCGAAATCTGCCAGCGCAGCAGAAGAGCGGCTTGCCAACGCTGCAGCAGAGTGGTCTGCCAGCACTGCAGTCGCAGGTGACTATCTGCAGTCGCAGGTACCTATCTGCGGTCGCAGGTTGTCTATCTGCGCAGATGTTCGCACCCTACCAAGTAGGTGCAGGTTGGCGGTTTCACTGTCAGACACATTGCGTAGGTGCCAGGTAGAAAACGAGTCGTCGGTTTCGCCAGGTGCGCACCGTCGACCACGTGATGCCGTTCCGCAGGTAGAACTTCGCCAAAACCTCCTGGGCGAAAGTTCGCACGCCTTCGCAGAGTTTCGCACAACTCAGCAACTCGGTCGAACAACTCACCATCGCTCGGTTGAACAGCGTTCGCCGAGCAGAGCTCCTCGACCCAAAATCTGCGACCAGAGTTCTTCGACCAGGATCGTCGACCAGCACTCTTCGACGGAAGCTCGTCGCGCAAAGATCGTCGACCAGAGCTCGTCGCGCAGAGCTCGTCGACCAGATTCTGTCGAGCAGAGCCTGCTCTTCCGCAACTTCCGTCGAACTGCAGAAGCCCATTTCGTCGACCAATCCATAGCAAACTTCTCGTCGACCGCGAGATCGGCTGCGCCCAAGCAAGGGCGGGGCCTTTCTCGTCGACACTCCCTTGTCGCGCTCACGCTTGGGCACCCCACACACTAGGTCTACCCAGAACCCTAAGGGATAGAATACAAGGAGAAAAGTCCGTCTGCGTGAACCCAACGCATAGCACGCATGTCACCGCACCAGCCGTGCAGAAGGGCACGGCACCTACTGCTGCACCTCGTCATCCCTGTCGCCCATGTCGGCCAGACGCACTTGGCCGATTGCGACGGAGCACCGGTTGAAAGCCGGAAAATGCAGCGCCTTCGTCAGAAAATCTGCCGGCTGCTCGGAGGTCGGGATGTACTGCAGAGCAATCTTTCCGCGATTAACCATCTGCTGCAGCCAGGCGTAATGTCGCTCCATGTGCTTGAGGTTGCCCTTGAGCCCCAAGCCCTCTGCGACAGTGATCGCCGACTGGTTGTCCACGTGCAGAACAGTCGGCTTCCTTACGTCGAGCAGACGGGACTCTGCAAGGAGGAAGCGCAGACGGCGAGCCTCCTTGCTGGCTTAGGTTGCCGCAACGTGGTCTGATTCGGTCGGAGAGAGCGTTGCGCATTTGATGCGCTCGCTCGACCAAGAGATTGAGGCTCCTCCGAAGACGAAAATGTAATCGTCAGTACTCGTCCGATTCTGCTTGTCGCCAGCGTCGTCTGCATCTGCATAGCCGACCAGACACAGCGACTCTGGTCCGCCGCCGAACTCCAGAGCGGCGTCACGAGTTTCAGCGAGGTAGTGCAGACAGCGATCGACCTCACGCAAGTGATTGTCGCTTCGCACAGTCAGGCCGGATCCGAGCTTGCTGCAAGCGAAGGCAATGTCGGGCCTCGTCGTGGTGGCCGCGAACTGTAGCGATCCGACCTTCTGCCGGTACTCTGCTTCCTCGCGCGACTGAAACTCCTCGTCGTCGAACATCAGCTCCGCATAGGCGTTGACGGAGACCGGCGTCTTCGGCACTCGCCCGGTCTGCTCCTCGTCGATGAAACGTCGGCGCAGCTTGTTGACGTAGACTTGCTGGTGAAGCCACAGCTTCCTCGCAGGACGGTCGCGCACGATTTCCAGCCCGATATAATTCTCGACCGGGCTGATTTCACGCAGCTCGAAGGCGGCCTCGAGCAGCTCCTTCAGCTCCCTCAGCATCGCAGTGCTGCTGCTTGCAGCGAGCAGGTCGTCGACGTAGACGAGCACCAAGCACCCCACTCCGTCGTCGCCGACCTTGAAGTAGAGCGCCTCATCGACCTGGCTCTTCTGCCAGTTGGCGCCTGTCAGTACCGCGTCGAGCGCCAAGTACCACAGCAGCGGACTCTACTTCAGGCCGTACAAGCTCTTCAGCAGCTTGCAGACTCGGCCAGTTCCGTCGTTGAAGTAGTCCGGCTGGTACATGTAGAGGACGCGATCCAGCTTGCTCTGCAGATATGCGTTTTTCGTGTCCAGCTGCATCAGGTGCAGATCGAGGACTGCTACAATGCTGAGGAAGATCCGCAGAGTTACGTAGCTCCCCACTGGCGTGTACGTCTCATCGTAATGTGCGCCGTAAACCTGCGTGAAACCTTTCACGACCCAACGGGCCTTCTCGCGTGCGACCGTGTCGTCGACGTGATACTTCGTCGTGAACACCCAGCGGTTCTTCATAATGTTGACGCCGCGCGGACGCTCGACCAGCTCCCACGTCCCGTTAGAGATGAGAATCTTGAACTCCTCGTCCATGGCCGCTTTCACCGCATTGCCCTTCCAGCTCGCCAACGCCTCCTTCACCGTCATGTTGGCGATGTCCCAGCGATGCTCTGGGTTAGCATGCATGTCGGGGTCGAGTTCGGGCAGATGCATGTCGGCCTCTGCGCCGTTGAGCAGAGTGCTGTAGGCCGTCGGCGGCAGACAAGCGTGGTAGCTCAGCTTCTCCGGCGGCTTGCCGATGTTGGGGCGGGTAGAACGGCGGAGTTTCTCCTCTTCCACCGGAACCTCTACCACGTCGCTGTCATCGGACTGCTCCCCTGTCGACGGCTCCTCTTCATCGCCACCGTCCGCACCGACGACTTCCACAACGTCGTCGCTCGATGAACTGTCGAACTGCTCCCCTGTCGGTAGCTCCTCTACCGACTGCTCGCCCAGGATCGGCTGCTCTGCCAACGGCTCCCATGAAATTGGCGCCTCTGCAGTCGACTTCTCTGCAAGTGGCACCTCCACCAAAGGCTTCGTTGAAGTCGGCTTCGACGCCGACAACTCCCCTATCGTCTGTCGCTTTCCGTCGCCGACCTTCTCGGCGTCACGTCGGCCACCGGCGATGCAACCGGTCGGCGCCGCAGGCTGTCACCAAATACAGTGGTAAAGAACAATATATTTGGTTATACGCTAGAGTTGGTGTAGCAAGGTGTAGGTTGGGGAGTTATGCAACTTTACGGAGGGGTTGTTGAGCCTCAGGAGAATGATGCGAAGTTGGTAGCATGGGGAATTGGGACATTGGGAAGAACAACAAGCGCCTCGAGGAGCAGGAAATCTGCAGCAGCCAGTAAGGCAAATGTCGACTCGAGCCCAACCCAAGGCCATAGAGATGGTCTTGACTCTGGGTAGGGAATAAAGTAGCCTGGCCTAGTCTTTAGAACCTGTTTTCTCGTTTTGTTTGCCTATTATAGTGGATTCAATTCACCGTTCTAAGGCTACGGCAGCTAGGTGATACGCCACTGAGGGCAGCCAGCTTGTGGGAGCAGGAATCTCTCACAAAACGAGAGAAGCTGACCGGCGATATGGATCGCCACGATCTGCGTGTGCAGTGTACGTACTCGCGACGGGAACGATCTCCGTCACGGATGAGGCGCTCGAGGGAGCGTGGGAGATCGCCGAGGCGCTCGCCACAGCGGGCGGCGTACCGCGCGGATCCGGTGACGCCGACGGGCGTGCGAAGGGAAGAAAGCGGGGAGGACCTGCATGTCAGGTCAGAGCCGTGGAGGCGGCCCGAGATCAGCAACCCGTGGAACCTGGCAGGAGGCCAACGCGGAGTGGATGGAAGGCGCGATAACGCCGACGACGACGGATCGCCCACTGCGCGGGGCGGCGGAAGGCGTGATAACGCCGACGACGGCGGATCGCCCACTGCGCGGGGCGGCGGAAGGCGTGATAACGCCGACGACGGCGGATCGCCCACTGCGCGGGGCGGCGGAAGGCGTGATAACGCCGACGACGGCGGATCGCCCACTGCGCGGGGCGGCGGAAGGCGTGATAACGCCGACGACGGCGGATCGCCCACTGCGCGGGGCGGCGGAAGGCGTGATAACGCCGACGACGGCGGATCGCCCACTGCGCGGGGCGGCGGAAGGCGTGATAACGCCGACGACGGCGGATCGCCCACTGCGCGGGGCGGCGGAAGGCGTGATAACGCCGACGACGGCGGATCGCCCACTGCGCGGGGCGGCGGAAGGCGTGATAACGCCGACGACGGCGGATCGCCCACTGCGCGGGGCGGCGGAAGGCGTGATAACGCCGACGACGGCGGATCGCCCACTGCGCGGGGCGGCGGAAGGCGTGATAACGCCGACGACGGCGGATCGCCCACTGCGCGGGGCGGCGGAAGGCGTGATAACGCCGACGACGGCGGATCGCCCACTGCGCGGGGCGGCGGAAGGCGTGATAACGCCGACGACGGCGGATCGCCCACTGCGCGGGGCGGCGGAAGGCGTGATAACGCCGACGACGGCGGATCGCCCACTGCGCGGGGCGGCGGAAGGCGTGATAACGCCGTCGACGGCGGATCGCCCACTGCGCGGGGCGGCGGAAGGCGTGATAACGCCGTCGACGGCGGATCGCCCACTCCGCGGGGCGGCGGAAGGCGTGATAACGCCGTCGACGGCGGATCGCCCACTCCGCGGGGCGGCGGAAGGCGTGATAACGCCGTCGACGGCGGATCGCCCACTCCGCGGGGCGGCGGAAGGCGTGATAACGCCGTCGACGGCGGATCGCCCACTCCGCGGGGCGGCGGAAGGCGTGATAACGCCGTCGACGGCGGATCGCCCACTCCGCGGGGCGGCGGAAGGCGTGATAATGCCGACGACGGCGGATCGCCCACTGCGCGGGGCGGCGGAAGGCGTAACGCGGCCGACGAGGAGGAGTTCCCCACTGCGCGGTGTGGCGGAAGGCGCGGTGTCGCCAACGATGAGGAAGATTTCCCTGTTGCGCGGGAAGGCGGAGGGCAAGGTTACGAGAAAAGGGATGAAAGGGAGCGAGTCCGACGCGGAAAGGTGTGGGGGGATAGCGAAGAACACAGGAATAAGGAGCACTCACCTGCAAGACGGCAGGAAGAGGGTAAGAGGGCATCAGCGGGTGCCTTTCGCTCGCCTGAGCCGAGGCCAGGATATGATCGCAGACGGCGTATGGCAATGGGTGAAGGTCGGCGGGCAGAGCGGGAAAAGCGGGAAGAAAGGCCAGACCATGAGGAGCGACGCCAGCAGAGCCCGCCTGAGTGGGAGCGGGTGCGCAACAGAGAAAAGCGAGAAGGGGGCTGGGGAAGGCGATCCCCGCACGGCTCCACAGCAGAAGGAGGCCAGCAGCGAAGGGAGCAAGAGTGGCGTCGTCGGGAACGGTCACCTGTGCAGAGAGATGGACGATGGGAGGATCAGGAAAGGTGCAGAAGACACGGCGAAGACGACCAGAGGAGAGGTCCGAGTCCGAATGGCCCTAGGAGGCTAAGGCAACATGGAGAGGGATCGAGTGGGGCTAGGGCAGCGCGTGAGGGACTGGAACGAGCATTGTACGGAACCAGCGCAGGAAGCAGAGGAGACAAGGGAAAGCAGCGAGGGGCTGCTCTGTCCGATCGGGGAGGCTCTGGCAGTTGGGATATGGGGAGGTGGGGCGAAACGGCAGCACCACGGGTGGAGGTGCCGGTACGCTTCACAGGGAACGAGAACACAGGGCCAAGCCTCAAGAACTATCTGATGCAGATTAGCAACGTGAAGTATCGGTGTGATTGAAGCGGGATGGATCCCATAGACTTCTTCCTGAACCTGCCAAACATACTAGGGGGAGAAGCAGAAACCCTATATCGCATGAAGATGGGAGAGTGGCTGAGAAGGGCCGATGAAGATGAGGAGGACCCAACGGTGCTGTTTCTGGACCGGCTGCGAAAGCAGTTTCCAGGGCACACAGCGGCACGCATCAAAGAGTTTCAAGAGTTCAAGAGGAGGGATGAGGAATCCCTACCGACGTATTACGGGCGGCTGATGAATCTAGCAGAAGACGTGGTTTGCACGGACAGCAGTATGATCATTAGTAAATTCCTAAATGGGTTGGACAAGGGACTGGCAGGGGGACTGAGAATGCGGGTCTACGAGCTGTTTAGCAGATGCGACACCTGAGGAGGTGTTCGAGCTAGCCGAGAGAGTGGAGCTAGCACAGAGGAAGTATGAGGTGTACCTGCCAAGGCCAACAGAGAGGAAGAATCCCACTTGGGCTGCCGCAATGATACCTGAGACAGGGGGGAGAGAAGAGAGCCGACAGGAGAGGGGAGCTGAGACACGCACCTGTCACCGATGCATGCAATCTGGGCATCTGATGAGAAACTGCAGAAATTGCGACACCTGTGGGAAGCCAGGGCACCGCCGAAAGGATTGTCCGGATGCACCAAGATGTGAGGTGTGTGGGAAACGGGGGCATAAGGGGAAGGACTGCTACCAACGCACAGGAGGGCCAAGGAGGACGCCAGAAGAAATAGAAGGGCAGATAGGGAGGTTGCAAGCACAGCTGCAGGCACTGGGAGGGAAGAAAGAGAAGGAGGCAGGATTGTATGCAAGGGAAGAGGATGACGAAGTAGAGGTGATAGATGAGCCAACGCCCGAGTACAACTTTATGGTGTTGCGCAGCCGAGAGGAGTTGGGCCTGCGCAGCGGGGACAGGGATGGCAGAAAGGAACACATTGTTAGGGAGAGGAGCAGGCCAAAGAAAGCACCAGAGGAGAAGGGTAGCGGGGAAGAGGAGCCAGCCAGGCATCCCAAGGAGCGGCTGGCCAGTCAAGCGACGGTGCTGGTAGCAGGAGCTGGAACAGTGGCAGTGGGAGGGGAAGTAGCAAGAACCGCGATCATAGATACGGGGGCACAAAGCGTAATGTTGGGGAGGCGGCTAGCAGAGAAGCTGGGGTTGACCGGACCGGGACAGCACATAAAACGAGGAATGCTAGTCATGATCGCAGAGGGGGGAGAGCCTAAGTGGCTACCGTGCACCAAGACTCCAGTGGAGATAGTCCTAATGCTGGGGAAGGAGGAACAGACGAGTATCAGGCTGCAGTGTGGCATCTCAGACTCAGAAGATTTTGATGTACTGCTAGGCACGGACCTGATCTGGGGAGTGGGGATGACCATCTGCACATGGAAGGAGAAAGTGAAGTTTCGGAAACAGTATTGGGAGCGGGGAAGCAAGACGGGAGAGCTGCCTGTATCATTCACGAAGCAGGAGCCAAAGAGGGCTTACACGGCTGGGCAGACAGGGACAAGGGAGAGGGGGAGAGCAGGACTCGTGGGTAAGGCAGCAACGGTCAACGCGTGGCAAGAGCCGATAAAGCTGGTAGAACTGTTCGGGGGAATAGGGGCAGGGCTAGCAGCGGCGCTCAAGGCAGGAGGGAATGGATATACGTGGAAAATAATAAACAGGTGAGGAAGATGGCAGAGCATCACACGAGGAAGCTACAACAAGAGTATCCCGAGCTACTGGAAGAGGCAGTGATAGAGAAGGCAATGCGAGGAACAGTGACTGACGTAAGAAGCATCACGCGGGAGGTGGTGAGGAGCTGGGGGCATGTAGACCTGCTGGTGGCAGGATGGGAGTGTCAAGCTGTGTCAAGGGCAGGGAAAGGAAAGGGATTAGAAGATCCAAGAGGGGCGCTGCTGGTGAACCTACTGTGCATTATATACTGGATAAAGGAAGGACAGGAAAGGGTGGTGTACCTGCTGGAGCACCTGGACCTGGAAGGGGACTGCAGGGAGCCTGTCAAGAAGGTTCAGGAGTTGGTGACAAGGAAGCTAGGGAAGGGAGTTAGATGTGATGCGGCCAGGCTGGGGGCACGAGCTCATCGTGTCAGACGATATTGGCAGAATGTCGTGCCAGATGAGCAACTGCAGCAAGAGATGGATGGGATACGCAGGGACTGGAGCAGGACCGTGCGAGAGATTCTAGAGGCTGGTAGGACAGCGGCACCTGTTAGGAAGGGCAGGCATGAGACACAATGCTCGTGCAACAAGCTGGGGGCAGAACGTAGGGCATGGCCGACATTAGTAGGGTATGAAGGGGCAGCTGGGTTCAGAGAGGAAGATGAACTTCCAGGAGAAGGCATGGTGTATGACTGCATGACGAAGAAGTGGGAGGAGCCGACGGCGCTGGAAAGGGAATTAGCAATGGGGTATGGAGAGGAGGCGACAAAGGCAGCAGGGGTGATAGAAAAAGAGAGGAGGAGAGCATTAGGACAGCCCATAAACGGACAAGTCATGCAGTGGTTGCTGCGGCGGATGTGGAGAGGGCTGGTGCTGGAAGAGGAAAAAGGAGAAGGTGGTGTGGGGACAGGGGTGAACAAGGTGGGGGCATGGGCGTGCATGGCAGCCAAGGAAGAACCGGTGTGGGTAGTGGGGAATGCAATGAGCGAGAAAGGAAAGGAGGCAATGCAGGAGGTATTGGCAAGGTACAGGCACGCCTTCGCGTTCAACCTGCAGGAGCTGGGGAAGTGTTCGGTGAAAGAAATGAAGTTGAAACTGGTGACGGAGGAGCCGGTGTTTCAAAGGAAGCGGAGGATGAGACCTGGAGATGAGGATATCTGCAAAGAGAAATGTAGGGAGCTGATGGAGGCAGGGCTGATACAGAGGTCGGAGTCAGAGTACGCGACGCCTACTGTGGTGGCTGCCCGGAAGGACCTGCTGGGGGAAGTGCTGAGCAGACGCATGTGCGAGGACTATCGAGCACTGAACAAGGTGACAGTGCCCGATAGGTACCCAATGCCCACAGCCGAAGATATCTTTGACCGACTGGGGGCAGAAGAGATCTTTAGTACGCTGGACTTAAGACAGGGGTTCAACCAGATCAGGATAAGGAAAGAGGACGTACGAAAGACAGCGTTCCATGGTGCAGACGGACTGTACGAGTGGCTATTCATGCCATTCGGGCTGAGAAACGCGTCAGCCATCTTCCAGAGGGTGATAGATAGCGTGCTGAGGGGATTGGAGTGCGCAGCATGTTACATAGACGACGTGGTGATTTTCAGCAGGACTGAAGAAGAGCACGTAAGAGATGTGGAGCAGACCTTGAAGGCGCTAGCAGCAGCCGGGCTGACATGCCACCCAAAGAAGCAGGTGGGGAGAGGCGACCGTGCAGTACCTGGGGTATGAAGTCAGGGGCGGGCAGTTAGGAATCTAGCAGGCGAACATTGAAGTGCTGAACAGGCTGCAGCAGCCAAAAGACAGGAGCGGACTGAGGGCGGTGCTAGGATTTCTGAGCTATTACCGCAGGTTCGTCCCGAACTTCAGCAAGCGGGCTGCGCCACTGAACGGACTTCTGAAGGAGGACAGGAAGTGGGAATGGGGGATGGAGCAGGAAGCAGCACTGAAGGATCTCATGGAGGTGGTGCAGACGGCGACAATTCTGCAGCTGCCCAAGGCTGACAAGCCCTTCTGCCTATACACCGACTGGAGCAGCCAGGGCATAGGGGCAATTTTGTGTCAGGAGTTGGATGGGGAGGAGAGGGTCGTGGCGTATGCAAGCAGGAGCTGCAGCCCAGCGGAAGCCAAGTACAGCTCTTACCACGGGGAGGGGTTGGCAGCCGTGTGGGCTGTGAAACATTTCAGGGTATACCTGCAGGGGAGGGAGTTCACACTGATCACCGACCATCAGCCCCTGCAGTGGCTGATGACACACCAAGGGCTGACAGGGAGAAACGCGCGGTGGGCTGTGACGCTACAGGAGTATGACTTTAAGATACGCCACAGGCCGGGAAAGACGCTGCAGCACGTCAACGGGCTCTCAAGGAACCCGCCGGCAGCAGAGCCAGCGCACATGCTGATGTTGCTGGCGAGGCAAGGGGAAGAGGCAGCAGCCGGGAAGCAAGAGGGGCCAAAGGACATTTGGGAAGATCCAGTGGCACTGCGATGGATTCAGGGAGAAACCGAAGAGGATGAGCAGGTCCCTGACAGGGTAAGGGCACGAGGCCATCATTATAGATGGTATAAGGGGCAGCTGCAGCTACAGTCGATGGATGGGTGGAAGCTGGTACCTGTGCCGCAGGACAGGGAGGGAGTGATTAAGGAGGTGCACAAGAAGTTGGGGCAATTTGGGCACGAGCGCACAACGGAGCTGCTGAAGACAGGCTGGTGGTGGGAGGGAATGAGAAGGCAGGTCAGAGAGTGGGTTAGCGGATGCGAGGGCTGTCAGAGGAGTAAGGCCAGCCTGACACAGGCGAAGCAGGAGCTGCATTCACTGCCAATAAGAGGGTTAGGGTTCAGGTGGTCGCTAGATATAGCGGGTGAGCTGCCGCTGAGCAGAGGAGGCAAGCGGTATATACTGCTCATGGTGGAACACGCGAGCAAGTGGTTGGAGGTGTGTGCGTTGCCGAGCAAGGATTCCAGGCACGTGGCAAAGGCATTCAAGGGACAGGTCCTGTGCAAGTTTGGGGCACCAGGGGAAGTGCTCACAGATCAGGGGACAGAATTCAGAGGGGA